TCGGAGCCTCATTACCCCGCCAAATGCGGAGAGCATCTAGGTAACGACTCAGTGGCATAGCAGCAGCGATAGCAAGACAGCTATTTGAGACCCTCTAAGCGCTGGTGGCACCTTTCTTCATATTGTACTCAGCAGCTACTGCAAACAAGTCTGCATCTTCTTCTGCACGCCACCTCTAGCATCACACATCAGCAACAACGCTTCATTAACACACACTACTAGCCGACTTCCAACCAATCAACTGAATCATGTCACAGCCTCAGCAGCGCATCCTGGATTCGCACATCCATCTCTGGCCCTCGACAGCAACGTCATCTTCTGAACATGGCTGGATGACACCCAACAACCCTCTCGCCAAGCGCCACGGAATATCAGACTACCTGTCCATAGCCTCGTCACCACCCCCCACCGGGTTCATATATGTAGAAACAGACCGCTACCTTCCATCACCTATTCCTAGCGACATTTCCTCTTCTCCATCTAGTGAAAAAGAAATTGAAGAAGCGAAGCAGAAACTCTCACAATGGGCCGCACAACCACTGGAAGAAATAAAATTTCTCCGACGGATTGCAGAAGCGAAACCAGATGACGGCGATGGATTTACCCCGCAGGAAGCAGATAAAATGCTCGGATGCGTAGTATATGGTCCCTTGCACTTTTCGCCTGCTTTGTTCCGCATCTACCTTGAACTAGCGGAGCAAACCGCTGGACCCAAGTTGTGGAGCAAAGTTGTAGGATTTAGGTATTTGCTCCAGGGAAAGGGTGATGGCGTCGTGCAACGCATGTTGCAAGAGAATGAAGAATCGTGGGTTAGTAATCTGAGTGTTCTGAGACGCGGAAACAGTGGTAAGGGCTGGGCCTTTGATGTCGGAGTTGATATCAATCGAGATGGGACTGGACCCATGGAAGCGGTTGGCAAGTTGATTGCGAAGGTAAGACAGGAAGAAAAGAAAGAAGGCGTTGAAGAAGGAAAAAGGGTGAGGTTCGTGTTGAGTAAGTATCACTCTTTTTTCCCCTCAATTCTCCTACCTGAAAATATTTTTCCATCAAATACAATCAAGACTTGGAAAATCCCAAACTAACACCGAACCAGATCACCTCGCAAAACACCCCCTCTCCCCTTCTGCCCCCATCCCATCCCCTATCTGGCTCTCCTCCATCTCTTCCCTCTCTTCTGACCCCTGTGTATCAATGAAATTCTCCGGTGCTCTCAACGAATTCATAGACACCCCCAGCACCCCCTCTGACCTCCTCACTCTCGTCAAAACCCTCTCCCCCTTTTTCAACCACGTATTCCAGTCGTTTGGCGCCCGCAGGATTCTGTTCGGCAGCGATTGGCCCGTATGCAACGTCGGTGGGCCAAACGGCGAATCAGGGAATTGGTCGTTGTGGAGGGAAGTGGTGCAGGGGTGCTTGGAGGCCAAGGGGCTGAGCGAAGAGGTGAAGGAGAGTGTGTGGTGGGGGGCCGGATGTGCAGCGTATGCTTTGGATGTGTGAATCTGGACTCGACTGAATTGGGTCCGGAGGTCGAAGGAAGGAAGGAAGGAAGGAAGGAAGGAAGGAAGGAAGGAAGGAAGGAAGGAAGCGGGGAAGAAGGAGGGGGGAGGGGAGATGGCGAAAGTGACGTGACATGACCTGATTTCCTACTCTTTCTTCATCACCCCAAATGAGCTTTATATTGCACATGGCATCGTCCTTTTCGTAGCTTAACGATTTTATGTTTAACTCTGTGTTCTCTACATTGCAAAGTGGTGGCACATAAACCTATAAACGATCCCACCCCAAAAGGAGACCTACACACGCACTTTATCCCCCCAACGACCCCCCTTGCTTCCACAACTTCATAACCCGTCATCCACGAAGGGAAAAAATATCAAGAAGGAAAAGAATCTAAATAAAGATCACAAGACCGATCGACTACACATCACCAACGTACTCCTATCCCTTCACTCCGGCACCCAAACCCAACTCTCTCTCTCTCTCTATACGCTCTTACATCGCCATGTCACCAAGACAAACTACCTACATACCCAATTTATTCCCGCGGAACCCAAATCAAACCCAGGAGTCCCCCAACGATGGGCTTCGGTATCGCACTTTTTCCTTGACCTACGTAACATGAATTCCGCAAATCATCAGCCTCGGTAGCAGTCGTCAATATACCTACCTACCTACGCAAACCTATGACAAGCTCAAACATATACCTCAGCATTACCCATGTGATCAAGACTGAATTTATCGAGTCCCAGAAAACTTAAACTATGGGCTTCATACAATCCCATCTGTGTGGCAAAAAACAACAACAACAACAACAACATAAAAGGTATGCAAAGCAAAAAAAAAGCCAGCCCTAAAATGCATAATTTCGGGGGGGGGGTATACAACTATTCAAAAGCACTAACTTTTCCCCCTTTCTCCCCCTCCACAAATCCCCCACCTCACAAACTCCCAACCCCCCCTAAACATACCCCACCCCCGTCCCCGTCCCCTCCCCAAGCAACACCCCAAACACCACCTTCCCTGCCTCCCCCTCCTTCTCCCCCCTCACAACGCCCAGATAAGCCCCCAGCTCGCCATCATCCGTAATCTGCACGCCGACTTCTCTCCCCTCCGCACCCCCCTTATACGCTATCAGACCTTCTAGTTTCCGGACTTCGGTACCCGGGTGCTCGCGGGTAGCCAGGGTGTGGAGTTCGGATAGAGAAGGGGAGTGGAGGATGGACAGCCAGAGGGTTTTTGCTGGAAAGGGGGTTGAGGAGTGGGGGTGGAGGCGGAAGTAGACTGGGAGAGGGGTGAAGGAGGAAGAGGAGGATGTGGTGCTGGTGCTGGTGTTGGTTGAGGGGGGGTAGTATGTGTGTTGGTAGTGAGAGGCGGGTTGGTATTGAGGGGGTTGGTAGCGTGGTTGGGGTGGGTAGTCTGGGGTAGGGAGGATGGAGGCGTCGCTGGCGGCTAGGAGGAGGGAGGGGTCAATTTGGAGGTCTGAAGCGGTGGGGAGGGGAGGGGCGGTCGGGTAGCATGGTTGTGGTGGTTCTTCACGGGTCATGTTTGCATGTGGGCGCTCTTTGGTGCTCAGTGTTGTCAAGTGAGTAGCGACAACAGGTGGTGCAGGTCCTGGGCCTGGTCCTTGGTGGACCTGGCGCTTTTTGTTTGGATCTTTAGCTGTGTTCTCCTGTTGTTGTCTCTTCGTGACGTCTCGAGCCAGAACTTCGAGCGCTCTTAGTTTCCGCGCATAGTCTGGGTCGTTTTCGCCCTGCAAGAGTGCCTTTACTAGGTGCTCAGACTCGTTGACCCAGGCCTGCTTCAGTTCTGTCCACTGTGCTTCACCCGCCTCGAGTTTGTTCGTAAAACGAGCTGTTCTCAGTTTCTCGGCAAAGGCGCTTCGTACGCGTCTCGTTTGCTCGGGGTTGAGACCAAGAATGTTCTTCGCGTCGGCGAGGCTCATCCGTGTATTCAGGGTTCGTAGGCGCTTCGTGACATCCATGCAAATGACATCTAGCGACAAGGCCCGCTGGCCTTTTGGTCGAAATAACGCATCGTAATTCTGTAGCACTTCAGGTTCCTGCTGGAAGACCTCTGTCAAATGTGCATTTTCCTTGATAAGCTGCTGTACAATCTGCGCCCACTTCTCAGGGCCAGCAATCGTCTTCTTGACAACCTCCTCAGCCTTGCAGATATCGAGAAAACGCTCTCGTAGCTCGCGGTACATGTTGTTGTCAAGACAAAGGTACGCCTTCGCTTCATCAATCGTCGTCTCAGATGGGAATCGAGGAGGCTCCCCAGGCGCATCTGCAGGCAGCCCTGCCCAACCGCGGGTTCGTCTTCGTCGTTTCCGCGTACGCCATTTCTCGTCGCTCTCGGCCTGCAGTTGTTGCTGTCGTAATTGTTTCCTAAGCACCTCCTCTGGGCTCAAGCCAACAGTGTCGGGTTCAGGGATTATAGGTCGCGCTTCTTCCGACTGTTCCGCAGACCCATCGTCGGCCTGCTCCTCTTCCCCACTCTCATCCTCGCTTGATGTCTCCTCTGCTAGTATCGTGTTTCCAAGCTGATTTATGAGGCCTTTACCAGGTATAACCTTGGGTACCTTTTTCTTTGCCTTCTTCTGTATTCGCCCATCGGTCGTCGGTGCCTTTTTCGGCTTGGAGACGCGCTCTCTGAGCAAAAGCTTGAGTCTGAGCCGCAGACGAAGCAGTTCGCGGTCGTTGATATCGAAGCCCTCAGCCTGCAGGATATCCATCATCTCCTTCTGAGTACAATTCTGTTCCCATAGTTGCTGGAGCCGTGCGACGAGAGCGGGGTTTTTGTGCGCCGGATTTTGCTTGCTCGGAAAGTCCCATCGCTGCCATTGAGTCAATCATGATGGAAAGAGACTGATTACTGGCGACGCACCTTGAACTGCGTCTGAAACGCCCGCTTACTGCAGAAACACAGTCAGTATTGCCTTGTTCAAAGATAGATTAAAGAGAGCTCAATGACAGCTGCAAGATGTACGGCGACCTGGACACGCAAAGGCGCAACAATCCCACATACCTAGGAGTAAACCCCCGAACCTCCCAATATGCTATGACTTCCTCCAGACTCTTGCGCTCCTCGACATAGAGGCGATAGCACACAGCCTCTTTGTCATCCCAAGAATAAACCATTGGTGCAGGTCTGCGACACGGCCGACCAAACTATGACGGCAAACTATGGCAGGCGTTTCGCGTCCGTTGCGCAGTTTGCCAAGAACCCGCCTCGGCATGGAATACACCGACGGCACTACTTCACCTCCTCGGACCTATTATCGTGGCCATTTGGCGCAGCAGCGCGGCATATGTATCTCGTGGCCTCTTGAACGGGCCATCATGATCTCAATTAATCTGCCGCTTGCGGTATAAGAAAAATCTATAGCCTATATACCTTTCTGCAACTCTCCCTCCCTTGAATCATATCTCACGTACCCCGCTGTCTACCACGACTACCCTCTCTGTTAACCCCACACTCTCGCATTTACATACGTGATCATGTCGCACGCACGCAAGAACAGTCTATGGACGCCCCCAGTGGTGCAGACGCCGAAGCTGCTAACCGGTAAATCCATGATGATTACCGGCGGCGTGACGGGTATTGGCCGCGCCATTGTCCTCGGATACTTGCAGCACGGCGCAAACGTCGCAGTGAACCACTTGGGAGACGACAATTCCTCCTCGCAGTACCAGTCTCTGGTCGATGAAGCCTCCCACATCCTTGATGTGAGCAAAGAAGACGTAGAAAAGCGACTCGTCCAAGTACCCGGCGATGTCGGAAACCCGGAGACGGGCAAGAAAATGGTGGCAGCGGTGGTGGAGCGATGGGGACGCTTGGATGTAGTTATAAGCAACGCGGGTATCTGCGAGTTCAAGGAGTTTCTAGAGTATGTATCCAAAACGTATTTAGTGTGCGAAGCAAAGTGATGGAAAGCTAACATATTATCTCGTAGTATCTCGGAAGATCTCTGGACCTCGACCCTAAACACCAACCTCACAGGCGCATTCCATACCATCCAAGCCGGCGCAAAGCAACTCTCGACCCAGTCACCCCCAGGTGGTTCCATAATCGGTATCTCGTCCATTAGTGCACTGGTCGGGGGCGCGTACCAGGGCCACTACACACCTACGAAAGCTGGTGTGCTCTCGTTGATCCAGTCATCGGCATGTGCGCTAGGAAAACACAACATTAGGTGTAATGCTCTGCTGCCTGGCACTATCAAGACACAGCTGAACGAGAAGGATCTGGAGGATGAGACGAAGAGAAAGTACATGGAGGGCAGGATACCTCTGGGCCGTACAGGCGTGCCCAGTGACCTTGCTGGTCCAGCCGTCTTCTTGGGCAGTGACTTGAGTTCCTATGTTAATGGGGCCCAACTGTTGGTTGACGGCGGGCTGTTTGTAAATCTGCAATAGATGTAGAAAGGAAATGCAATTAGATCAATTTACGAAATGTTCACATGTCACCTCTTCTTCCGTGCCAACAAGCTCTGTGAATTCCCTAGCTCCCATCTAGCATCCTCACGCTAGGTTCTGCAAACGTGCCAAGGGAATCCACAATGTAGGCGTTGCTGTATTATGCATCATTGCATAGTGTAATACGCGAGATGAAATGACAGAATACAATAATTTTGTTCACTTTCAACCGGAACAATCGACTCTCTACTTTGTGAACTTGAAACCAGTCAAGATGAACGGCGTAAACATCACATAGAAATGACCTAATAACAGTGAAATGCCCACTTTTGTCCCGGGTATGGTGCCAACTCCGTCGCTGTGATACCCATGGATAACGCCGATAAACACAAAATGCTACATTGTCAATGATGCGCCTTCACCATAAGACGCCGCATCGATTTCGCAACGCTCATAATAGACCTTCGGATTAAGTAACCTGTAATTATGTCAGAACATGATTGATGCATTTACATCCGACCATCATCTGATGATTGGATGTGCTGCTGTACGCAAGCATCAGACAAAATATATGTACTTACCTCAGCAATATTCTGGCGCTCAATGTAGCTTTCCTGATTCGCATCTCGTCCCACACGCCAATACACATCAGTGTAATCAGCGCAGTTCATCTCACGCAAGAACTGCTCATCGTGCGTAATGACCAGCAACTGGAAGTTGGCCTGCCTCCTGCGGCTCTGAATGATCTGGGATAGCGACTCTGCAAGTCCCTTGATGTTCTGCTGATCAAGATTGGTAGTGGGTTCATCGAGCGCGATAAGACCGCAGTTTGTACCGAAACATTCAGCAAGTGCGAGACGAATGACAATTGAAGCGAGGACCTTCTGGCCTGCAGAACAACGACCCCGCATGTCCATCTCGGTATCTTGCTTGACCATTACAACACGGTAGTTGTATGTCCGATTGCCTTTACCATCACCGTCAGATGCAATGCGGATCGTATCCACGTCTGTACCCTGGTATGCATTCCGCCACAGTTCAGCGAGGATACGGTTGATTTCCTCCATCTTGAGCGTGTGGTACTTCATAATGGCCTTATCTAGAGCGCCAGCATAACGACCCAAGTCTTCAATGGCAGCCTTGGTAGTTTCGACCTTGATGTGTGCCTCACGATATTGCTGCGCGGAATCTTTGTAGAGGTCCTTGTACTCATCCATGAGCTCAGTTAGTTGGTCGTCTTTATTCTTCATATCCCGTTCAACGCCTGTTTTCTCAATATTCAGTTGACGGTACTGTAGATCCCAGTGCTCGGCTTCACGCTCGTAATGCTCTTTATCGCGCTCAGCACCCTGCTCCTCAAGCTGTCGAATCTCCGATTCCAAGCCCTGAAGGGAGCGCTTCGCTTTTCGATAGCGAAGGTTGTCGCTGATGGAGCGTTTGCTTGTCTCTGTATCGCGTATCGTGTCTTCAATCTTCTTAATCTTTCGAGTCGTATCGGTCATGTTTGCCTCTATGCGAGCAATCTCGCCTTGAAGATTCTCAATCTCTCGGTGAGTCTGAGCAAGTTGCTGCGGACCGCCACGTTCGATGTAAGCAATGATCTCTTCGCTCGCCTGGTTGAGTTGGCGAAGACTGTCCGACAACCTTGAAGCTTCGTCGTGAGCTCGTTGGACACGCTCATTGCCACGACGGTTAACATCATCGTACTTGTATTGCGCTTGCTCGATTTCAGGATCAATGTGTTCAATATCCTGATCAAAGCCGCGCATGGCCTCTCTTTGCTTGTTGTTTTCCTTCTTCAACTCATCAACCCGATCAGAGAGAGCGCGCTTCTCCTTCAGCTTGGATTGTGCACTGTTCAGCTCGGCGCTAATATCACGTACACTCAACTCAAGTGCGTTGATGTTGCTGCGTGACTTGTCTCTGGCCGCAGTAAGCTGGTCAAGTGCGTTCCTGATGTCGCGGCTATCGTCAGAAACCCGCTTTAGGTCGGTCTGGATGGCATCGATTCCCCGCGACAGCCCGGCAGACTTTTGCTTTTGTGCCAGCTCCTTGATTTCAGCCTCAAGCTCCCGTACCCTGGTGTAGTATCCAACAATGGTTTGTACCTCTTTCGTCAAAGACTCGACTTCTTGTTTGGCGGCATCCAACTCATAAACCACAGCGTCCTGGTCTTCAAGTTGCTTGTTGAGAGTCTCTCGCTCCGATGCTAGCTTAGCAAGGTTCGCCTGCATCGTGGGAAGTTCAGTGTTACGAAGTCTACTCGCCAGTTCATAACTAGGTTTGGCGCTGCGAGCCGCCTCCAGCTCAGTGAAGATTTCGTCCGCATTGTCTGCATCCATGTTCTTCTTCGCTCTGGCAATGATGTCCTTCAACCCTTTTATGAAACCAGCTGTAGTGAAATCTTCCTCGTGATCATCGTGAAGAGTCCTTTTGCAGAGCCGACAGATATTGTGCTGCTCGGCGTACTCTAAACACTTGCCCATATAGTCAATCTGTGCCTCAAATTTGGCCTTGTCTGAGGAGACGGCTTCGTATTCCTCCTCAAGTTGTTGCAGAGTCTCGTCGAAATCGGAAATGTCGTCCTTTTGTATACATTTTTGGACCGAGGTTTCGTATTTTTGAAGCTCAGCGCGCTTCTGTTTCACTTGCGATTCCAAGCTGGATAATTGGAAGGTGACCTGATCCAGCTTCGATTGCACAATATCACGACGAGATGCAGCCTCCTTCACTTTCTCCGCCTTTTCGGAAAGCACCTGCTGGTAGGTTGTCTCCAAGGTAGATGGATCCCAGTCTGAATCAACGAGCTGGGAGATGCGTTTGTCATGAACTTTCTTCATAGTTGCCAAGCTATGTTGCTGGTTCTGCAGCTCCTCCCACTTCACGTCGATAGAAGCAGATTCCCGCGCTTGCTTCGATGCGTCACCAAATTCAGCAGTTAAGCGTTCTTTGCGGTCCTCCAATGTGCGCAAGTTACTCGAGGCTTCTGATATGCGTTCATCAAACCGCTCTGAAGTAGCTGTAGCTGTAGCATCTTGCAACTGCTTCTCGACATCTCGTTTCTTGGCTTCAAGAATGGCCTCGCTGCCTTCGTCCGCCCTGATCTGATTCATAAGTTTTTGGAGCTCTGAAATGCGCTTATCGTTATTCGTTATCTGACTACGGGCTGACTCTTTGCTCTGGCTGAGTCCAGATTTACGTGTGTTCAACTGGTTGAGGATCTCTTGGGCCTCACGCAAATCGCGCTGGGATTCTTCCCGTACTCGATCTAGAGCCTTGTTCTGGTCGCGAGACATCTTGGTCAAAATCTGCAGGAAGTCGGCCACGTGTTTCTCCGTGATATCGTAATCAAATCCTCGGATAGCATGTCGCTTTGCTGCTTCCTTGATTGCATTCTCGCGGTATTGAATCTGCTGCTCGTGCTGCTCTTTCTGTGCCTCGTATTTTCCAATCTCGCTTTGCTTTACTCCTAGCGCATCGCGTTTGTCTTCCAGATCACCCTTCAGTTCAAGGTATTGCTCTTTAAACTCTGTAACTTGTTTGGAGTATGTAGCGACTCGCTCCTCGTACTGATCCAGCATATCCTGAAGCTCCTCATCTGACTCGGCCAGCTCTTTGAGGCTGTCTTGCAGCTCTGCCACGTTTTGCTGATTGATGCTGAGTGTCATACGCTTAGCGTGTAACTGAGCAACGATCTGCTCGAAACGCGCAGCGTGGCTGTAAGCGTCGCTCGCTTTATGCTGGGCCTCGGTGCATTTAGAATCCACTTCTGTGTACGTTTCGCGCAGCTTCTCGATTTCGTCAAAGAGTTTAGCCTGTCTGTCCTCGCTCTTCTTTGCCCTCGTCTTGTCCTCTTTGGCATTGGCTTCGATGATCTTGAGTTGGCCGAGGTCGACGTTCCGCGCTTTCCGAATCATCTTGATGTTGTCAATGGCCTTTGTGTATTTCATCGCCTCGAAAATCTCGTCAAACTTCTTCTTGAGAGTGGTGGGGTCTGCCAATGGCCACAAGCTGTCTTCCTGGTGGCAGAAAATGACATTCTCAAGTATAGCTTTGGATACGCCTAGGTATTGGGGGATGATTTGGTCGAGTTCGGCGACACGGGTCGAGATTGAGTGCTTTTCGCCATCCTTGATCATGAGTAGGGAACCCTCGAGCGTCTTTTGGCTGCGGGCGTTCTTCTTGACGGTGACCTGGAGATTGCGGGTGGCGACCATGCGCACGCCGGAAGTTGAGCGAAAGGACAGTTTGACCTGGGCGAGGAGTTCCTTTTCGTTGCGCAGCTTGGGGTCGTGGATGAAGGCGCCGCCGGATTTGCTGTTTGTAGGGAGGTCACCGGTGGTGGCATATTTGAGCGACTCAATGATGGTCGTCTTGCCGGAGCCGTTCCAGCCGACAATGAGGGTCAGCGGCGCGGTGAAGACGATAGTCTCTCCTTTTTCAGGGCCAAAGGAGCGGATGCCCTGGATCATCATACGGTCGATCTTGGACATGGCGGCGGTGGCGGCGGTGGCAGCGCTCGGAGGGCGCTGCACTCTCTTGCCTTTGGCCTCTAGTCGTAGTGGTGGCTGTGGTGATGGCCGTGGTGGTTGTGGGGGGTTGTGGTGGAGTGGAGGGGCACCTTGTCGCGTCGTGCTGGCAGCGACACGTGACGGCAGCCTGGAGTTTGTGGGCCAGCCCGACGCGGTGTCACGTGACAATAATGATGACGTCATGTCTGTGCTGGGGACAGCCTAAGCAAGCATTGTGGCTGCGGGCGTCGGTGATTGTTCTCCTAAGCGCAGCCTTGCCGGTGAGAACAGGACAGCGGCCGCCATGACAGGCGCCGGATGCTCAGACATCCAACCTCCCACCTCCCCCCAAAAATATTCCATCCATCGCCAGCCCGGGCAGACGCCCTGTACCTCCCCGTGATCCCGCCCGCCTGTACGACACCGCATGCTGAGTGCCGCTGCGGTGTACTGCGACACCGCCATGGCGCAATACCCGAACGGTGGTGCTGAGGTACGCGCGACCCCACTTGCTGACTAGGCTGGGCAATTCTGAAGATGGTGACTTGTAGATGGGCCTCAACTCCATGGCTGGGATCCCGATGCACCCTCACCGTCCGGACCTCAGCGGTCTGCCAATGGACAATGTAATGCAACATATGGACCTGGACATGTCTTCGCTTGACGGCACAGACGGCCAGAGCAGCGCTTTCGCTTTTGCCGACCCACAAATGCAGCAGTCGGCCGTGCCACCAAACAACACCATGGCCACCGACATGCAAATGACGGGCGCCGGCGCAGGCCCGCTGCCTACGGGCTTTGGCGCTCCCAATATGAATCCCTCTGGCAGCACCCTCACCGAGTTCACAAAGCGCCGTAACTGGTCCCAGCGCGTGCTGGAAGAGCTGCGCGACCTGCTGCACATTCTAACCCCCGACGGCAGAATCCTCTATGTCTCCGCATCGTGCAAGTCGTTGACCGGCTGGGAGCCCTCGCATATCATGGGCCGCTTCATTAACGAATTTATCCACCCGGATGACATTGGAATCTTCGTCAAAGAGTTCAACGAATCCATCGCCTCAGGCAACCCATTGCGCTTCTTCTACCGCTTCCGCAAGACCGACGACTCGTGGATTATCTTCGAGTCCCATGGCCACCCGCACCTCAGCAGCGACACAAACACGTTCGCGCCGCCAAACGCCATCAACTGTCGCGGTTTCTTCATGATGGCCCGCCCCTACCCGACCAAGAACGCCGCCCTTCTCGACTCCTTCCTCGAACACAAGATTGAAAACGAGCGCCTCATGAAGCGCATAGCCGAGCTCAAGCGCGAAGAGCAGGACGAGCAGGACGACTGGGCCAAAAAAGCCGACAACGCCACAACCTCCATGACACCCTCTGAGTCGCACGTCACCCAGAACATGAGCCAAGCAGATGCCGCGTCATACGCACAAATGCCGCCGCCGGCGAAACCGGTCGTATCAAACACCGCCCTCACGCGACAAAACCTTGATGAAGCCCTTGCTGCAAGTAAGCCCGACAGCATCAACGACAAGATGGCGCGGTATGAGGGCGCGAACCATCTCGAAACAATCGAGATGTTGACCGGTCTGCGCTACAGGGACGGCGAGCGCTCTCAGGGTATAAGCACAGGCGATGCTAGTCCTAACCTCATACGCGGTGATGCAGGTATACAAATATCTCTAGACCGCGACGGCAGAAACTCATCAGAAAAGAAGAAGAAACTGAAGATTGCAGACGAGTACGTGTGTACCGACTGCGGAACGCTGGATTCGCCCGAATGGCGAAAAGGTCCAAACGGACCGAAGACGCTCTGCAATGCTTGTGGATGTAAGTAAACACCTCTTTCAACCAACAAAATTACATGCTAATCAACTACAGTGCGTTGGGCAAAGAAGGAAAAGAAGAAGCAACAAGGTCCAAACTCGAGCTTGCAAAGTGGCAGCGGCGTGACGCATACACCGGCAATGCCTATGCATAGTAGCACTGGCAGCAGTTGAGCCTTTGAAAGGCCGCACATTCAGTCACTGCCGATTTCTTTTCTCTCACCCAGTTTGACTTGAAAATAAGCGATTTGGTCAGGATCTAATGCGGCGTCTTGTGCTATCTACTTTTTCTGGAATCTCATCAACGGGCAACATGGGACGGGCATATCAACGGCGTTGAATCTGTACACTTTTATCATATATTCAGCTTTGTTGTTTCATTGCTGATTGGCAGAAAAATTCCCAAGACCATGGATAGACTCGGACCGGGCACGTGATACCACTGTATTTGCCGATTACAAGTAGCGTCAACATATGTATAATCTGTCTCTATCTCTATCTCTATTACAGCAGATCACCTTTTTAATCTGTAGGATGTGAGTCTTTTCTTTTCTTTTTCTGTCGTGATAGCTGTAAGTAGCGCAGATAGTTGTTCACATGACTTGGAATCCATAAATACGCCGATCGCCATGGCAGAATGCAATTTCCACATCGCACTTTCTTTCCGATTCTACGAGAGCAGAGTCACGAGAGCGGTTTCCTGCAGCCTTTTGTCCCCACCCACCTGGCTATCTGCATCTGGCCCGCGTTTAGCGCTGTGCTTAAAAACACCACACTCATGTAAGTGGTCCAACTAAACAAAGAGCGCCGCTGACATCATGGTGCTTGCTATCTAGCTACGTTGAGCGGGTAGTAGAGCGGTCAAGAAAGCTGAAAGTATGCTTTCTTTTTCAGTGGATCTGTGGCTGTGACTCTGACTATCTGCATTGTTACCCACTCATTTCTCTTCAGCTTGCTGGCCGCGTGAATCAGCCACATTTCTGTAAGTGATTCACATTTTCTCTCTTCATCACTCCACTCCAGAGGAAAGCGCGGTTCGTTCGTTCCTATTATTTTCCTGATTTGTTTACAGGATCCTGCTTGATGTTTGATCACCCCGGACAACATTAGGGACCGCCGATAAAGTTATACTTTCGGATAATTGTTTTTTTAACTTTCAACTCCAGTATTTACACTCTGCCTTGCCAGGATTTGCTTTCCCCCCGTTTTGTAGACTAACGTTTCACCGCCTAGACCGTCATGTCGGCAGTAGACACAATCGGGCTCGATATGGCATGCACGTCGTTCTCACCGCCAAATGAAACCTCACTCCCCCTGTGATCGACGATGCTGTTGTTATACCCATACGTTTCAAGCATCACGATCGAATTCGATTCCTGCCCCGCACTGTCGTGGCTATCATTGAGCGTGTCCTTCCTTGGCCTTGCTTTATTCCGCACCACAGAATGGAAATACCTAGGAGGAGGCGGTGCAGCTTTACGCTTAGCATGAGATAATATTCGTGCAAGTGCTGGAAAACAGCCCACAACGATGACGGTTCCCAGCTCAGCTATACTGCGTAAAATTTGTCAGTCTTTCCTTGCATTGGACAGGAATGTCACGTGTACTCACTTTACTATCGCACTCTGCGGGAGATGCCATGTGTAATCATAGCGACGTGCCGTTAGCACCCTGAAGTAAAGTCCAAGACTGGCGATAGCTACGGCTAGCAAGGCTACAGCGAATACGGCAAAAATCTGAAACTTCCTCTTGAGTTCTAGGCTTAGTGTCCAGATGGCCCAAATAGGCACGCACAGGGCCTCGATGTCGGATACAAGATTGACGACGCCAATGGCTATGACCGACGGCTGCCAGTTCAAGCAGTGCCCAGGAAGCAGTGGGTTGCGCATCTTCTCAAGCGGCCAGCAGTTGAAGATGTAGAGGAAGAGGAGCACCGTATATGCGATTGCGTTCGCGACCAGCGAGACCATAATGACCCAGTACACCGCACCACGCAGCTGCGTAGTCAAGATCTTCTTGAGCTGCAGAAACACTGCAGCCTTTGCGAACCCCCCGCTGATGGTATAACAAATGACCGTATTGTTGTAATGATAGCTCCCATCCAGCAACACAGCCAAGTTCATATCCCACAAATGCCGCATGACACCCGTCGTACCCGCATGTATTGTCAGACTCGTCTGAGCAACGAAGGCGCACCAGGCGATGTACAAGAAGACGTCTTCAAGACAGACCTTCCGCATCCAGACATTGACGTAGACGCGTATAGCGATAAAGACAAAAGTAATGACTTGAATGAATGCTGAAGCAATAATCACGGTCTTCAGCCGGTCCGCAGGGTTCGAGAGGTTAGGTGTGATGCCTGGTGGTGGTACGCCCGCTGGAATGCTGCTGAAGTCCATTGCTGGTGTGGTGTGTGCATTCTAACCAGCACTTTGCAACAGAAGAATATACTCAGCGGCGCCCATATATGTATTGATATAGATATCATGGCATAGATGGGCTTGTGGTGCTGCTGAGAGTGATAGTACCAGGGCTCATGTGTGATTGGATACCTGTGGCGACGCCAGGGGCAATGGTGTATTCACAGCAAGGGATGTCCGATTGGGGTTCGCCGGCCGCCTTTTTTGCTGCTCTTCGGCTCGCGGTACGTAAGAGGAGGGCTGACGGGAGGGGAGCATTTGGAAGATGGTGGGTGTTGAAGACTCTTTGGTCGTCCGCGGATTTAACTACACTTAGATGCTTTTTGCGGTTTTATGCTTTGCATATTGAATATATGGGCTGCCGGATTAGACTATTCGTGTGACTTCACAAACTGCTTGAAGTGACGGTTTGTGATGGTTCGTTTGCACATTTGGAATATAGGTGTGCATACTTTCAGGACCTTGTGAACAAATTAGCCACCGGATACGTTGGAAGCTGGACACGAATGTTGTGCACTACATGTCGCGCGTGAGGGATTTGCCGTGTACCTTGGGGTCAGCACTCTCTCGTGGTGTGGTGTGGTTCTGACGGGTAACGTACCCGTATACTACTAGGACTGGAGCACCCCCCGCCAAGATACAAAGCCTATCAATGTCGTTCCTTCCGCGGGTGATGAGTATGAGTTATGGCTACATGATTTCTTTTTCGGCTCCAGTGGTTGTCGGGTTTCTATTTGTTGATGAGTGGTTTGCTCAAGGGATGGCCCTCTGGTAGACTAAGATCGATCTCGCATATCTCTGTGTCACCATCGCTTCTGTAGTCCGAGGACCTAAATCCATGGGGCCGGATTCTATGTCAAACTCTCGCTGCTACTGAAATATCTATACTTTTTTTCATCTTTCTCTCAGAAATCAAATTCGACTTCACTTGATCGTCCACTCTTGATGTCAGGACCAAGAAAACGTACCACTGTCGCATGTGGGGACCACCTGTCACCAAAAACCTGATAGTGACCAGTCTAATTCTGGTTGTTTCACAAACTACCTCGGAATATTCCAGTGCCACGCAGTATGTAAAGGGGGTATTGTGAAAACGCGTGGGCCGGGGGTATGCGCTAAGATTACTTGCATGTCCTCCGCGGACCGTGCCAGAACCCCTCTTGAGATCCGCTTCCCCGTACAATCTTCTGATTAACATCCGGTCCTGGTGCCTGGGAAAAATAGCGCCATCGTAAGTATCATCCTTGCAACATTTTATTGGCTCGTCATGCGCCGCAGACGCGAATGTGATCTGATTGTGTACTTCTCGTCTCTCCGCCTCTCAGTGCGAACTATGACAATTTATGTACCAGAACCCCGCAATGTCACTTCTTGGCTTTTCACCATGGACTAATTTCTTATTGTTGGGAGGCTTCGTATCGAGAAGTGGCGGGCTTAGTGGCGGCCACGCCATGTTTTGTTCTTTGGGACGGCTTTGCTGCGTAGCTCAGGCCTCCAGTTTGCCGACGCAGCCACTGCGGAGTCGTAATATCTGAAGCGAATTCCCAGAGTGCCTTGAAAATGTGGGCTTGGTGCTAGTGCGGATTTCTCCGTCTTAATGGAGGTGATATAGACGCCTGAATTTAAGTGATGGGCCCTCTCGTGCATACCCTATTGGCCAAAACATCACTTACCAACGAACATTGACAAATACTCGCATTCCTTATATTCTTGAAAAAGGGATATATCAAGTGATGAGCCTGTAGCATACTCTTTGATATCACAGTGAAATAGGGTGTCTTGTGGTAAAAGGTATCCACACCAACGCTGAGCTGGTGATGTACTGTTTGCTTGGCTCTGTCGCCCAAAAATCTTTACTTTCATGGGCAGTGTAATCTTTTACGAAACAAAGCAAATCACAAGTTACCATTTGCTCTGATATAAATGCCGGCGCGAGTCGCGATGAGAATGTACGAGCCGACCAATCACAGCCGAGCTCTGATCACAACACAGACGTTAGGCGGCCGCAGGTACACAGCCACGTCAAGAGATCTTCATGGGGCTGAATTCTAAACCATAGGCAATCTTGATAGGAATCAAATGGAAACAGAAATTCTGCGAGTATTGTGCTGGACAAAGAATCTGTTATTTGATGAAAGATTCACACTTGATCACCTATCAGTGATACCTATGTTTGCCCGTCGAAGAACAAAGTGGCAAGTCCACCAACAGAGTCCCCTGGTAGGGCTTGATTCTATCTCCACACGGTATGCGAATCCTCTGGGGCGAAGGCACCGTGCAGATCTATCCCAAAGCCAAAGTAAGCACGGCCTAATAGGACATGAAGTGTACTTCCTGAGAGGCAGCCATTCAATGCTGAGCCCCAAAGTCATTTGCTATGAGTAGTATAAGACTCGTACCAATATCACATTTGAATTTCTGTTGCCATATTTTCCAGCCCCAGGCCTGAACAGTTGCCTGTTCCCAATTCAATTCTGCCTTGTGTATTCTACTTGGCAGTTTGCTACATTATGCTCTCCCATCTCGTCACTGCCGCCTCGCTCTTCACAGCAACAACACTCGCCTTGTGCCCTCCACCTGGCCCCATTCTCCCACCCCCATCACTAGCTACTGGTGCCTCAAATTTTACAATCCCAAGGGCCGTGTTCCAGAACTTCACTTTTCTGCAAAACACATCTTTCGCAGTACAAGTCTCGATTGGCAATACCACAATCTTCCAACATCAACACTCAGCACCTGGTCGCCAAGTGAACCAGCCGTTATTCGAAACCCAAATTCGCATCGCCAGCGCCACCAAGTTCATCACTGCTCTTGCGCTGGAGCTCAGCAAGGATGTCCTCAGCCTCGAAGATCCCATCACTAAGTCCGTCCCTGGGTTGAGCGAGGACCTATACGGCGATGTGACACTAAAAGCCCTGGCAGACCACACCTCTGGCCTTGGTAGATTTGTACGTCCCACTCCATCTCCACACGGCATTTTACTAAACAATTCTCTAGGGATATGTAGGCGACTTAGCATACGGACGCAACGCCCCCCTCCTCGGCCTCCCCAACATCACCAACACCCTCCCCGGCTGCGACCCCGTACCCGGCGGCCGCGTCTGCACACGCCAACAAGTCCTCGATATGTTCAACAACCCAACCTACGCACCGCACTCCCCCAATTCACGCGCCATGTACAGCAATATCGGCTACATACTCCTCGGCCACGCCCTCGAAACAGCACACAACACAAGCTACGAGTCCGTCATCCAAACCCTCATCCTCGATCCCGCTGGTATGACGAAATCGACATTCAAAGCACCTACAGATGACGGCGCAGCTATACTCCCTCGCCGCCCTGAAGACGCAAGTTGGTTCGTCGCCGACTTTGCGAACTTGAATCCCACAGGCGGGTTATGGTCCACGCCCAAAGACATGCTCAAGCTCCTTCACGCCCTACAAAATGGCATCTTGCTGAGTCCCAGCGAGCTCCGCGCCTGGATGCAACCAACAACCTTCCTACGCTCAACGCAGCAATACGTCGGTGTGGCATGGGAAATCTTCCGCATCACTGATCTACCGCTGGAGTTTCCGCGCGCAATAGATGTGTATACGAAAGCTGGGGGCGTGCCAGGATACGGATCATACGTGGCGCTGATACCAGAGTTTGATGTAGCGATCACGGTGAACGCTGCGGGAGGCGAGACGTCATATTCGTCGATTGAGCTGCTGGGCACGTTAGTGTCGGCGGTAGTGCCGTATGCAGATGCACTGGCTCGGGAGCAAGCTGCAAAGAAATATGCGGGGACATACAAGTCTGCTACCTCGAATGATACTGTTGTCCTGTCTGCTGCGTCTGGCCCGGGCCTTTCGATTGATGCGCTGACAGTTAATAATGTGCCTGTTCTTCGGGCATTGGCTGCGGGGCAGGGAATTCGGATTGACAATTTTAGTCCGAGGTTGTATCCTACTGATCCGGATTCTTTGGGTACAGAAGCGGAGAGTTGGAGGATGTTGTTGGATCAAAAGACGCCGGTGAAGAAGCTGTGGGGTGGGCTTGAGTGTATGAGTTGGAACTTGGGGGATCCGGCGAGGTATGTTGGGGAGCCGCTTGATACTTTTGTATTTCATGTGGAACATGAGAAGGTTGTTAGTGTTGAGTTGCGTGGTTGGAGGGTGAAGCTCGACAAGGTTGATTAAGCTATTATTGATCGAAGAGAACATAGAGATAGAAATGGAAGGTTCATTTAGTAGTCTGGGAAATCCGTCTCCACGTCTTTTCTCCACGACTGGAGACCTCCCTTGATGTCGCCAATATATCGCTTCCCTCCCAAATCAAGGCCAAGCTCTTTCATCTTCTTAACAGTTACTTGAGAGTCGTTTCCCAGTCTGCATATCACAAAGATAGGCCGCTCAGACTGCTTCAACTGTGTGACCCAGTCATTTTCTTCAAAATCTCCCCCGTTGTGCCCTTTGTTGGCGCCTCGGCCTGACGTACTGGACACAGTCGAAAAGGGGACGTTCATACTGCCATCGATATGGCACAACTCAAACTGTACCTTCTCTCGTACATCGACGAGAATATGACTATTCTTGTTTGACACTGTTCCTGTATGAGGATTGACCCCCGAGCGTAGTCTGGCGTAATTTTGGGCGGATATGCGCTCCTCTGGGGAAAGCAGATTGTTGGGTGGAAGTACGCTGCCACAAAATTGAACATAATCCAAGCTTCCATACTCTAGCGCTTGTTTGGTGACTGTCGCATTTGCTGAACAAGAAGCACATTTTGCCTTTCGACTCCTCAGGCGTATAGAGCGGAACATGGGATTCGAGTAGGCAGAGAAAATGAGCAGGCTTGGTGGATCTGCTGGTGTTGTAGAAGGTGTTTTCTGGGTCAAAACCTTGATAGCTTCCAAGGCTTGCAGAACACCCATGACGCCAACAACTGGTCCCAGGATCCCACCGTCACCGCAGGATACAACAGATTCCGGCGGCGGGGGCTTTGGGAAAACACAACGGTAGCAAGGGCCTCCATTGAGATCACCTGGCGGTAATGGTGGGTTGTTGAGGACCATCAGCTGGCCATCAATACGAAGTGCCGACGCTGAAACAAGCGGTTTGCCCAAGAGGACGCACGCATCTGATATCAAGTAGCGCGACGCTGGAGTATCAGTGCAATCCAGTACCAGATCATAGCCACTGAATGTTGATATGGCAGTCTCAGGACTTAGTCGAGAAATATGTGGCACCAAGTTGACATTAGGATTAAGCCTAATTGGCGGTCAGTTGTGCATCTTATGAAGCTTACAAGTGTGTTCAAGTTTGTAGGTGGACGCACGATTTTAATCCGACCATTGCACTTTCAACCTTGGTCATCCCAACCCTTGCCATGGAGTGCAGGATTTGGCGGTGAAGATTGGATTCTTCAACCACGTCGCCGTCCACCAAACCTACAGTGCCAACGCCCGCTCCGACCAAGTATGCGGCAGCTGGACATCCGAGACCGCCAACACCTACAATAAGTACACGCGCGCTTTTGAGGCGAAGTTGTCCTGCAGCATGTGAGACTTTTTGCATCAGTTATTGATATTTGTACTTACCCCGAAGCCCAATCTCGGGCATGATCAGCTGTCTTCCATACCTCTTGTATTCGTCCTTCTCTAGCTCCCACTTTTGGGTCTCTTCTGACTCAGCATGCTTCGCTTTCTTTTCCCCCTGATCCAGGATAGCAAAAACTTCTGAACGAAAGTCGTCCGGTACACCAAAGTTCATATCATGATCCAATGGGTTGGTTGGGTCTGTGGCCAATGGCCGTTTCTGAGGAACAACTTTGGACGGCTGATTTTGGTTTTGCTCAGCTTCGGCGAGCTGTTGGCGTAATTCCTGTAGCGTGGCTTCGCATGCTGCAATTTGCTTGCGCAGGGAACTAATAACTGCTGTCATGTTGGCGCGTGGTCAAGAGACATTCAACGCCCGTGATTCTAGGATGCGTGCAGCGGCGGCCCGATGTGGGGTCAGGGCGGCGCTAAACTGAATTTGAATTCAAGACACGTGCACCAAACTCTCTTATAGACACAAGCGCATGTAAGCGTATGACGGAGGATGAGCAAAGGTGGTAGATGCGTGGCATCGCCAAATGCATCCAAGACTGGACGCCGAGATAGGATGTTGTGAGATCGGAGTGCTCTGTTGTTGAGCCCAGTCTGCGCATTCGGAAGTTGAAGCACCAACAACAATGACGCTTACTCCATGAACTGACCTGGGGACATAGGTTAACACAGGTAGATGTAGCGAGGTTACAAGCTTCCCAGAGATTTGGATCGGAACTGCTTGCCGCCGTGATTCTATTCATTGTATGTCCTCACGCGTAACCTCTGTGATGGGATCAGCCTGTGTGACAAGTCATCAAACCATACCATTTGTGGCGAATCTCATTGATTGAGGCCGGAAGCCGTACCGTCATCACAAAATTACGATGGGTAGTGGGAATTAAGAATGGAAAATCTTTCAATAGGAGCACTATTTGTACTATACACCGAGACCATCTCATGCTCGCACAAGGATATAGTCTGTTGGGCGTGAGGCACGACCGCCTCTATCACATCCAGAACGGACGCTATAGGGAAGATGATAGGACCGTAATAGCAGCCAGATGTGGAATATTGCATCCTCTTTTCAAATGTCTCCCGCTAACGTAAGCAGTGGGCTTTCCTCTTGTAAGCATTTGGTAGACTTGAGCAGCCACTTCAGGTCATTTCAGCCGATTGAGGAGTTTGACAACTCATGGCAGACCAATCCAAACCTAAGCACATTGCAAACCGATTAGCCCCAGATCTTTCCATATTATGCATGGAAAAACCCTGTCATGCATGCGCTTGGATGCCTGGCGGGGTGGCTGAACGGGAGGGTGGGCGCAGGCCCACAGCTGCCACGATCACGCGTCTCGTATGTGTGAGCAAGTTGAACAACCCAATAGTAAGTGGACAGCAATTTGGCTTTCCGCTGACCTCCGGATTTTCAGGGAAAGGATGTGAGTTCGGGTGGCTGATACTAGGAAAATATTCGGGCACTAGCCAAGTAATTCAACATGAGAAACAAAAAATGCCGTGTTTCGCAGATATAGCCAGCTACTCGATATCGAGGGCTCCAAGTAAGCCAATGAGTGAAAAGCATGGCTACGGTCCATCAACTGGCGACCCAAAGGGTCGGGCACGGGAATAGCTTCTAGGCATGTAGATCTAGCAACCCATTTTCCATGTCAGCGTGTGTTGATTCGATCGACGTCAGCATAGATGATGTATCCGGCCCCTGTTGCAACCCCCAAAAGTCAAACTGGAGACTGTTGGTGTCGCCGAAAGCTTGTGACCCTGCGAGTGGTATTCGCGGGTCCTGTGCTATGCAATGAATGCCTAAGTGGCGCCTCCGCTACTCAAAGTTAGATAAAGGGCTGGCTGTCCACCATGGAGGCGTTGAGTAGCCTGCACGCAGTACACGCAGGGCAGCAGACCTTTTCGTATTCTGCCAGTGCTATTCGATAAAAGGAAGTTCAGCTGGCCGCACGACAGTGATAGCCGCCACAGACCCGTCGCAGTCACAGAAGCGTACGGCTACTAGTCTTGCCGCCCTGCCCCGCGGGTCGATCTACCCCTCTCTGGCGACCCACGCACCTCTCGTATTCTCGATCACCGTCTCCTTTCTCAACTACAACGCCATGGTTTCCGTTTGCGTGACATGCAAAGGCCTGCAGAAATACCCCCACGGGCTTAACGGCGCTCAGGATAGCAGCACAGAATCCTTGGTTTGGGTCAACACCAGGCTACCAACGCTAAGGTCAAGTTCAAATGCCTGTCGCGCATGCGCCCTTCTACTAAATGGCATTTTGCCATATTGCGACCGATTCGCTGGCGTGGCCGAGGACAGGATCCGAGTGACTGCCGAATCATTCAACTCCAAACCAGACAGGACCCTTCAGGACCATCTCTCAGTTGAGCTTCGATGGAAGGACAACGAAGACCACGACGAATGTCAAAACGAAACCCATGAAAACACCACTGGCTATGCAGATCTCAAATTGGAGTTCTTTACAGATGGAGGTATGCACCGCTCTGTTTGGTACATGGCTTTTGTTTTCAAGATCACTTGCTGCTCATTCGCCGATTTTGCAGAAATGTATGTACTGACGTCAGTGCAGATGGTCAATCTCCTTTCTCTGCCATTGGAAGAGGTCGGCAATTAGCAGAGACTCCATTGCAGAATACTGGTTTGATGATAGCACGAAGTCTGATAAAGAATTGTCTAGACAACCACACTACATGCAGTCGAAGAAGTAAACCCACCACGTTACCAAAGCGCATCTTGGATTTGTCGGCAGGCGACGACCCCAAAACTCTGCGACTGCACGAAAGTGAGTATATCCAAGACGAAAGAAGATATGAACATGGTGAATACATTGCCCTGAGTCATGTTTGGGGAACGACTAAAGGCATACCCAAGACAACTTTGGAAACACTACAGTCTTACAAAAAGTGTATCCCGTGGTCAATCCTACCCAGAACTTACCAGGAGGCGATTTTTCTCACTCGAGCACTTGGTTTCCGATGGCTGTTCATCGACAGTCTTTGTCTCATACAAGATGACGTCCATGAAAAGCTTGAGGATTCGCTCCGAATGGACGAAATCTTTGGAGACGCTTTCTTGACCATTGCGGCAACGTCCGCATCCGACAGTAGTAGCCACCCACTATTTCCCCCCAAGACACAACCACTCAAGATCCAAGCAGCCGATGTCAAAGGCTCAATGCATAAAATTAACGTAAGAGAGCAGCCGGGCCACTACAGCTTCAAAGCACCCTCCAATGGCAATGCACACATGAATGAGTGGGAGCTGCCTTTCAACATTACCGAAGAGGCAAATGCGGACACGCCACTTCTAGTCCGCGCCTGGCCTTATACTGAACGCATGCTATCCACCCGCGTGCTACATTTTACAAAAAGCGAAATGATACTCGAATGCCGTCAAGGCTACCAATGCGAATGCGGGCGTATCGAAGACAGCGCATTTGACTCGCGACCTACTGATCAGGTCAAGCAGGAGTTTGGCAAGGTCCTTGCGGAAACTCTGCATCAACCGCAACAGAACAATGGTAACAGCCACCTGGGCCACAACCGGATGGACAGTGTCACTAACCAATTAGCCTCTACCAATCTTACGAATGGCGCGCACCAAGAACTATTGCGGAAACGCGAAGAAACATTACAACTTTGGTCTTCCATGATAACAGAATACACGGCAAGGCATCTTACATATGACAGCGACCGCCTCATCGCCGCAGCAAGTATGGCAAAAGCATTGTCACCCACATTACAATCGGGATACATTGCTGGACAGTGGACTTTCAGCACACTAGGACTACTCTGGTATCCCAACGACAGCTCCTGCTGCCGGCGCCCACAACTCGGACAAGGCCAGAATGTCCCAAGCTGGTCCTGGGCCTCGGTCGAAGGCGCCCCAATCTTTTTCGACAACACAAGCGCAATGGATCTCGCATGCCGAGCATCATTTGGTCCAAAGGGCAAACGCGCAAGCGCCTGGTCCCCCATCATGGGCGAGCCGCTCGAACTATCCGGCGCAATGGCCACAGAAGTCGTATTCCACACCTCCTTGAAACCCTCGTCGCAATACCAGCATTCGTACATGCTCGCCCGCAACGGAATGTCCGTTGATTTCACACCAGATATCGTTCCGCCGCGTGACGAAGACGCACTGCAGGATGGCGAGACGCTCGTCTGCGTCCTCGTAAGCATGACGTTCCGCTCATCAATCGTCGGTGTTGTTCTCAAGTCTTCGCCACAAGGAAACAATACGTATCGCCGTGTTGGCCGCTTCGAATGCTACGAGTGCACGCCTGAGGGTATAGATGAGGAGATGAGTGAGGATGCCGAAGCGCTGTTTGAGCATTGGTTCCCTGAAATTCAGGATATGACGCAGTTGGATAATTATCCGCAGCGTACCTTTACGGTTGTCTAAGGGGTTCTAGAACTCATGTGCTTGGCTAATTCTGGGGAAGAAAATGTAGCATGGCTGGAATTTGGTCACGTGGCTTTTTTTGGCTCGACTGCTTGGAGCGTGTGGAAATGAGATGTAAGGAATGATTCTCCTATTCAGCTTTTTTTGTATATGTACGATACCCATACTTCACTTTTCTTTTGGCCGGTTGCCAATATAGTGGAATGTTTTCTTTATGATGCTATCTTCTTTGAAGAATTGGGAAACATGGGGGTTACAACTAGACTTGATTATGTATTTGGTATCGTCTGTTCAAAAACTTTTATGATCGTAACGGGCTTCCGAGTTCTTCTAGAAGGTTTATCTTGCGGTGGTCTAGATGCACTAACGAAGAAAATAAGAGAGTATGATGGTTTGTAATGAGTGTTTCTCGTTGAACTAATGATTGAAATTTTTATCATATAGCTTTACTCGACTTGGAAATGTTCAAGCGGCGTGTATAATTGCTCGATATATGAGCAAGCAATTATGCTGTGTTTTGGGACTCAAAAGTGTCCTGTCTATGGCAATGGTGTGCGGCATTAGTTTCTGGCCTTGTGGCCTGGGGTTCGTGTCATATGCACAAGAGCGCCGCGTAATCCTTCCTATAGATACCGCAGACGATAGTGATGGGCATCGCGCAGAATTGCCGCATCTGGCCTCAGCAAGATGACCAATCGTTTTTTCAATGGCTGCTGCGAAGGCACGCATATTTGTGTGGGACGGGCAAATTTATCGCTCCCGTCTATCGAGCCTGATGTGAGGGCGGATATTTGTGTCCAGCGGGTTGGCTTCATTGCTGGGCAAACTCTGGCCTCACTTCCATATTGGTCTGTACATGACTCTTCAGCGCCGCCCATCGATCCTTGACAGCGTCGGCCCCGTTTGTGCTCGCTGTGGTCAATTGAGCCAAGTTTGCATTGAAGCGCGCCTTCTCGAGCTTCTCGAGTTTTTCCTTCCTCTTCTTGGCACCCTTTGTTCGCTTCATGCTCTCCATTTTTTGTTTTGGCTGTAATATACGCGCCTGGCCAAGCTCAATGTCGCCGTCTGTGTCTCCACCAGGAAGCGCATCCGCGAGGGACTCGAGGTTGGCAATGAGCTTGTTGTTTGGGCGCCTGCGCTTCTGCGTCTTGGCGGAGGATTTTTCAATCTTGGAAACAAAGGATGAATGCTTAATTCTCTGCTTGTCGCGCTTGCTTGAGGGAAAAGATGACATGTCGTCGGGCTTGGGCAAGACTGCAGTCGTAGGGCGGGCGACACGAGCCGACTTTGCGCGCGCCGTTGTGCGCTTCTTGATGGGAGCCTGAGGCGCATGGTCAGTGATGTTTTTTGTGTACATAGCAAGCCGTAGGAAACATACCATAATGGTGCGATGCCGTTGCGAGTGTTTGACAAAGTTGGGGACGCAGTCGCAGAACCTCGCCTGGCTGTCAGAAAATCCTTGTCGATAAGGAAAGAAGAGGATTCCATGTTCGGAAGCCCCCACACCCGACCACCTGCGACGTCACGCACCTTGTCCTCTTTGGCGTACGCACAACCTCATCTGCGTCATACAGTTCCTTGTCCCACCTCATACCCGCGCGCTCATCGGGCTTCGAATATGGCTACACCTGCTCTTGTGCATTCCAACATCAATGCGACCCCCGCGCGGGCTGAGGTCGGCTCAATCCGCCGTGGAACATGATGATACTCTTCGATTCCGATGATCCCCTTACTGACTCATATCCGATGGAGCCTTCCTCGTCAGCTATGAAATCTGCCCATGCCTGACGGCCTTCGCTGTGGACAAATGGCTTCTTGGTGGCTGGTTGTGTTGACCTGAAGTCCGAATCATGTACCTACCACGAGCATAAGCGAACACCATCGAAAAGTCCGCGTGGCCTGAGGAAGCTGCCCTCCACTCTTGTCACATCTTGCCAGGCTCCATGCCCACGCAGCATGACCGTTGGGGCCCTTGGCTGACCCAACTCCACTACCGGACTTCGCTAACTACAGCTTATTGTTGGAGATCTAAGCTACTTAGCTGATCTCTAATAGAACTAATCCATCAATCTCTAATCTATGTTGGGACGATACCGATCCCTGACCCAATTCAACAACGTTACCCTGAACCAACTCAACGATCGATCCCTGATCCAATCTATCTAT